CCAAAACCTCCTGCATTTGAAGAGCCTGTTGTTTAAAATAGTTGATACGTTCTCGTTCAAAGGCCTGCGCCTTGTTAAACACCTGAAGAAGGAAATACAGACAATGATGACGAAAAATTATGCAAATGTGTTAAGTTAAACAGCGCAGAAGCCCCAATGCGTCACTACTCACCTGTGTCATCTCTTCTATATAGCGAGGCGTAACATCAGAGAGGCTGGAAAGAGACTCCTCATAGGCTTTTCGTGTCTTCTGTTCCTCCGAGGTCGCTTTTCGCAACTTATCCTCCAATTTCCGCAACTGAAGAATTCACAAGAAACTTCAAATTGACAATGGATTTAAGCAGAATAAGGGTACACTAAGAGCAGGGCGGGTGGGAAGCGCACTAGTCTTCTGGTCAAAAAATCTCGCGAACGTGAAATCTAATCAGCGCATGAAAAGAGCGAAACCATACCCGTTTATCGTAGCTCTAGAAAAGTTGACAGGAGCAGACGATTTTAGCACAATTGCACAAGGAAAATCGAAATATAAAAGGCTACTTTAACGCCACATAACCTAAGTGATTGCCTTTAGTCTGTGTGCTGGCCTCACAATTACGCCTACTGAGCGTGAAACAAATTAAGGGGGAGTGAGAATCAGGAGCGTTAAGAGCACACGATTAGTCGACTGTGGGTTAAAGAACCCCGACTTGCCGTTTGAGCTACTTACCTCCTTGACACGTTGGTTCTGCTAGATTATACAAAGCCAGTACATTTTGACAACTGTACAAAAGAACAAAGGGGGTAGATAAGATTGAGACTAACCTGTTCCGGCGTACCAAAGGGCTCGTTCTTCGCATTTTGCACCTGAACTTGTAGCGATCTAACAACTTTGCAGGCATGAAAATATTCCTTTTTGCATCGATTCACATGCTTATAGTGCTTATACCAATTCTTCTGGGCATTTTCGAATTCCGAATCAAAGTTCTTAACTTCCTTTATTGTTGTGGAGATGGAACTTTTATGAAAATTCTCCTTCTGCCAATTTTTGATTCCCAACTGAACAGGGCTAATAAGCCCAGAAGCAATATTCTACCAGAGAAAAATGGAATATGATATCTTAAAAACTAAACGCAGGAGGCTTGAAAAAAACTCACAGAATGAAGTTCTGCATTATCTTCCGCTTCCTTTGCTAGACCAGAAAGAATATTATTCCCGGTTCCATACTCCAACCCAGTTCGCACAAACATATCGAGCCGTGCGGCAAATTTGCGGAGATTTGCAGCGTAAGCTTTTTCAATGTCTGCTCGCTCCTGAATCATTAAAGCGAACTCAGAACAGAGTTTATTGGCATTTTCTGCCCGCTTAACCGTTCGGGAATATTGATGAGGTTCCCAAAAACTGGCATTCGTGCCGTTATCGACATCAGATTCCGCCGGTTGCATGTCAGCAAAGTACCCACACAGTAGAAGCAGAGACGAGCAGCACGAGCGCCGACAACGTTCTAACTGATGGGAGATAAATCGCCATTGGAATTGGTACAGTAAAACTAAGCAAGGTAAAAAATTGTGATAAAATTAAAAAATTTGTAAAATGGTAGCTATTCTTAATATCCAGATTGAAAATCAATATGTGCTTTGTAATAGCATTGTAATAATTGTGAACTTTAAAAAGAATTCAATAGTCTATTAGTTGTCACTCTTCCTACTAAAAAGCAGCTATAAAGTTTATTCAAGCAAAATTTGGATATTTAGTAACTGTTAAGTTCATGCTTTCTGTTTATGTAAGTGTATCTTTACCAAGATTTATTGGTAGAAATATATTTAGACAAATTTTTATGCTCAGAATATAATTTATGATAAATACCTCTCATGGCATCAAATAAATTGTTGCTTCACTTATAGTACTCTTGGTAAATCAGCAATTATTTACTCAACGATAGTAAATGTTGTGACTTTGGACATGATCGGATGTTTAATCAATTGTCTACTTATTTACAATTAATTTATGCCATTATCAACGTAGAAGGTTTAACTGCACCACTGTAAATTTACTGAGCTCAAGGATCACTGAATGAATGCAGAAATGCTGAAAGCCTTCGGTAAAGTTATTGTGCCTACAAAGTCAGACTTTGACTCTTTTGTAGATCTTGCAAGTGGATCACGTGGCTGGATGCAACACTATTCAAGTAAATCGGAGTACTTGCCAATTTCAGCTTATACAAAGGTTTTTGAAGGGAATGTTGTCCGAGCAGCAATGGT